CCATCACCACGCACTCCCATCATCTCCCGTAGCTCCGAATTCTTCTTCCCGCCCTGGCGGCCTTCGCCGTAGCTCTCTTGCGTCGAACCGTCGCAGAGGATCGAGCGTTCACTTCAGCGATTCGCCGGAGTCGCCCGTGCCGTCCTATCGCTCCCAGCCCGAAGTCTCGACCCCGATCCCCGAGGGCGATGATGTCGAGCTCCAGGATGTGGGAGGATTGCTGTCGCGGCGGTATGATCGATGATCAGCGTAATGTGCCTGTATCATTATTCGTTTCGTGTCTTTGATTTGAGCTTAGCGTGTTTCACCGGAACTGGACTGGGATTGGCAGGTTTTGGTTGGGCTAGGGAGTTCGGCATGATTTTATGAGATATACCATATAGTATAGTAATTTTGGTTAGCATTCTATGCATTGATTGCAAAACTCACTTGAAGTCTTATTTCTTGTGTGTGTGCAAAGCTTCTGAATCAATATGTAGGGTAGTGCAAAGGTGATGAAATCAATATGTAGAGTAGTATTCAGGTGAAGCCACCCAACAGCCAGAACATAATCACCAAATCATAGAGCCATGAGTAAGAAAACACATCGAGTTGGTTAGAGAATAACTTTTTCGCCCTTACGCCATGCTGCCCGATGCCTGTAATTAGACAATATTTTTCTTGTTTTCTTTGCCTCCCGCTCTGCCCTTGGACCCAGTACCATGAAGCATCATGATAACTGGCCGGGATATCTCCGTTGAAAATCCCACCACACCCCATCTCCCCTCCGCTCCCATCTTATACAGATAAAAAAAATACCGCACTAGAGTACCCACCGATAACTCGCATAGCGGCCGGCCGTCTCACTCTTCCGAATAATCTTGACGACCTGCCCCTTCCGCAGACCCAGGTACCGCGCGACGGGGTCGGAATGCTGCATGCGGGGCAGCTGGGACTCCTTGAGGCGGTACCGCTCCAGTAGCCGGGCCTTTTCGTCCGGGCTGAGCAGCACATGCTTGGGCACCAGCTCGTGCCGGGTGATGTTGACCAGCAGATCCTGCTCCTGGAAGTGCTCGCAGATGCGGCCGGGGACGCCGCTCAGCAGGCGCACGGCCGAGGGGGAGATGGGCGTCTGCGTGATGAACACCCCGGTGTGGAAGTTGTTCTCGTCCACGAAGTGGTTGAAGGCGCGGACCTGCTTCGTGCCCACTCCCGTCGAGTCCGGGCAGAATTCCACGTAGATCGTGCCGCAGTCGGGTTGCGGGGTCGGGTTGGATTTGCTGGGCAGCGGCGTGTATTTGGTTTGCATGGCTTCCGTGGGGCGGGCGCTGATTTTCATCTTGTTGCGGCTGGTGATTTGGGGGGTTAGTTTTTGGAAGGAAGGGGATTGGAGGGAGGGAGGCTGGCGTACTCGGGATAGCCTAGAGGGTCGGAATATTTTCGTTTGAAGTCCGCGAGCGGGATTTGCACTTCGTCTTCGGTGACTTCGTAGCCCTGTTTCCCGCAAGATGCATATTAGTATGAGAGATTGCGGGAGATCTCCTGAGCTCCAGGGTGCAGAGCTGCGTACCCGATCCAAAAGCATCTCAAAGACTGTTCGCCATGTGCGCCAGAGTCTGGTCATCTCGCGGTCGGCGTCCACGGACCCGGTCGAGTAGTCCTCATCCATGTTGAAGGGTTGGGGAAACACGTCGCGCGTGTAGGTTGCAGGGTAATTGAGGTCAGAGAGAGAGAGAGATTAAATAGACACCGCAACGGCGATATGCAAGTAAAGGTGAAGGTGAAAGAACGCTGGCGGGCAAAAAAGTGGCAGGTCAAAGGCGGATGCGAGAGAGTAAAATGAAGGCCGGTTTCTCGAAAAATCGGCGGCCCAGCGCTAAAGGCGCCAAACGGGGGGAACTTAAGCGCCGCCCGCCGCCCGCCCAGACAAGACCAAAGTCACCGGCCAAAAGAAAGAGGGCCAGGCCGAGAAAAAGAGCACGAAGTTCCAGTTGTTGACTGACTGACTGACTGGAACTAACTACCGTACTGACACTCCCTTTCCTTTCCCTTTCTCTCTTTCTTCCTCCCACCCCCCCTTCCTCTCCTTCCCTCTCAACCCCCACTCCGCCTCTCCTTTGGGTCGATTTTCTCCCAATTGACTGATTGATTATATTTAAAATCAATTCTTGCCTGTCAATTGCTCTTCTCCCTCACCTCATCTCAATCATGTCCGCCGACGCCAAGTCCGCTCCTGCCACGGAGCAGAAGGTGAAGCCCACCAAGCCCAATGAGGAGACTTTCAAGGCCGATTTGGCCCAGGCAGAGAAGGAGCACGCCGCTGTTCAGGAGAAGCTGGTATGTTCTTCCCTTGTCTATGACTTGAATTGGCGTTCACCATGCCTCTCGCATTGTTTTGTTTACGGGGATTCTGTGTTTCCGCACCGTGGCCTCTTTTTTCCTTCCTCCGGGTTCTATGGCTTTCCTTCTGTGCTACGGTTCTTACTTGACCGCTATACACCCAATTGCATGGCCCCGGTCATGACCTGCTGGCAATTGAGCTAACCCCCAACTCAAGAATGAAATCAAGGCCAAGATCGAGACCGCCAAGCCCAACAACCAGGACTCGCCAACCGCGAAGAGACAGCAGGAACTCCGCGCCGAGCTGTCCTCGATCCGCCAGAAGCAGTCGGGCTTCAAGGCCGGCCGCTCCAGCACCCAGGAGAAGATCAACGCCCTGGACGCCACGCTCAAGGCCCGCATCTCGGAACAGAACAACTCGCGCGGTCGCATGTCGTTTAAGAACGTCGAGGAGCTGGACAAGGAAATCGCCCGCCTCGAGAAGCAGGTCGACTCCGGCACGCTGCGCCTGGTCGACGAGCGCAAGATCCTCTCCGACGTCTCCAACCTGCGCAAGCAGCGCAAGAACTTCGCCGGCCTCGAGGAGGCCCAGAAGGCCATCACCGACCTGAAGAACCAGATCGCCGCCCTCAAGAAGAGCCTCGACAACCCCGAGGCCAAGGCCCTCAGCGACAAGTACAACGAGATCCAGAAGGAGCTCGACGCCATCAAGGCCGAGCAGGACAGCGCCTTCAAGAACCTGAACGCCCTGCGCGACGAGCGCACCAAGCTGCACGCCGAGCAGCAGAAGAAGTGGACCGCCATCCGCGAGATCAAGGACAACTACTACAAGGCCCGCAAGGCCTACAAGGAGTACGAGGATGAGGCCTGGCGCGTCCGCCGCGAGAAGCAGAAGGCCCAGCGCGAGGCCTTCGAGCGCGAGAAGCGCAAGAAGGTCGCCGACAAGAAGCTGGAGGAGGCCTCCCGCCCCGCCTACACCGATGAGATCCTGATCGGCCAGGGTCTGATCCGCCACTTCAACCCCGCCTACGACTTCGCCGCGCTGGGTCTGGACGACAAGAAGGACGAGGGCTCCAACTTCCGCGCCGAGATCGGCCGCACGGTCGATGACTCCGGCCTGAAGGGCATGAAGGTCCTGAAGAAGGATGACGGTGAGGACTACTTCGTCGGCACTGGTGGCAAGAAGGGTAAGAAGGGCAAGAAGGGCGCCAACGGTAGCCCCGCCGCCGCTGCCCCGGCCGAGACCAAGTTCAACCTGAACGTGGGTGTCATTGAGGACTTCGCCAAGGTCAAGATCGACCCTCCCATGAACCAGGCGGATGTTCCTGCCGTGATTGAGAAGCTCGCGGCCAAGATCACCGAGTGGAAGAAGAACCAGGCCTCGAAGACCGAGGAGGTGAGTTTTTTCTGTGTTTGCTTGCCGTGGTCACGACTAACTGTATGCGTAGAACATCAAGAAGGCCCAGGAGGAGATTGCCCGCCTGGAGGCCGAGGAGACCGCCGCTGCCAACGACGACCGGGCGACCGACGGCGCCAAGAAGGTGGCCATCAAGAACAGCGGTGTCAACGGTAAGGTCTCTGCGGATGCTGAGCTCAAGCAGGAGAAGGACGCTGTCGCCGACGTGACGGAAGAGCTCGAGAAGGCCACCGTCGAGGACCAGGCCTAAATGGGCCGCTCCGACGCATAGACCATTGCATTGCATGCACTTGCACTTGCATTTTGACCGCACCAGCGACTGCGCATGGTTAGAACCCAAAAGCTGACTATATATTCGTGTGACTTTGGTTCTTTTCTTTGCATCTACCCCTATAACTTTCCTGTTATCTCTTTGTTGCCTCCTAACATCCTCCTATTATCCTCCCCTCCATTTCGACCTGCTCCTCTGATGAGAAGAAGCCAATATACACGGGTATTGGTGACCCCCTTTGAAAACCGTGCGTTTGTATGTTGGGACCGGCTTTGGGGCTGGTCCATTTCCTTCTTGTGTAATCAATTTCATCTATTTCCTTTTTTCTTGTCATACCTTTTTTCTGCTGAATCCGTGGACGAACCTGGCGAAAACGATAGCGTTTAGCGAATCTAATTGCAGCGTGAAGTGGTTTTGGTGAATGGATGCTGTAGGGAAGAGATAGTGACTGGGCGTGCCAACGTTCGTATGCTCCTGCGTAAGTGTAGCGTCAGATGGGTTTGTCTCAAGAGGTTAGGGATGTTTGAGTGGATGGCATGCCCCAGATTTGCGATAAGATAAGAAGGGGTGTCCGGGTGTCATGAACCCATCCGCCGCGTCACTCTCGGGAGACCTGCAGACCCGTCAAGATCAGCAGTATGCCAGTCATAATGCATGGATGTTCCGACAGAAACAGCTGAAGATGCGACGTAGGGAACCACAACCACAATAGAATGAGCTGTCAATGGATCCCCCCCCTAAATTAACTATAAATAACACCGCCACAATTCTCCACGACTACTGCTGCGCCATCGCCATCCTTCCCAAGACCCAAGAAAGCACGCCGAGGAATTACGTGGAGATCCGCCAAATCGGTTGCCTAATCCGGGCTCCCGCCAAGGGAGTGAGTGAGTGAGTGCCCATGGGATTTCGAATTCTCCTCTTCCTTCTCGCTCTCGCTCTCACACTCTCCTTCACAATCCACAATCCACAGCCCACAGCCTTGCTCTTCGCATTTCTTCCCCCGTGACTGCTACCACCTACTCTTCTATCCGATAGAAACCACACCCTTTCTTTGTCTTCGTCTCTGAAGAAATCACAAAGATGTCCTACAACAAACCGGTACGTTCCCCAGTCCCCCATCCTTATCCTAAACCCCATCCACTAACCCCCAGAAAAAAAGGACAACCCACCCCCCTCCTACCCCTCCCCCGTCCACGACGCAGGACCCTACCACTACCAACAGCAGCAACAAGGCTACCCACCCCAAGGCGGCGCCTCCCAGGACTATTATAATCAAGGCGGCGGCGGCGGCTACCCCCCGCAGCAAGGCTACGGCCCCCCGCAAGGCGGCGCTGGTGGCTACTACCCCCCTCCCCAGGGCTATCCGGGCTCGCCGCCCCCGCAGCAGCAGCCGATGTACTATCCGCAACAGCAACCGCCGCCGCAGCAGGGGTACTATGCCGGAGGGGATCGGGGCGGGGGCTCGTCTGGTGGGGGTATGTGTGCGGGCATCATGGCGGCGTTGGCTTGTTGTTGTTGTTTGGATATTTTGTTCTAGGCGGAGGAACTTGTGGGTGATGATGGATGCTTTTATACTGTGTTCGGGTTATGTGGGAATGGGTGGGTTGATTGATTGATGGGTGGATGAGGGATCGATGCCTTCATACCAACTTCGGTGATATAGGGTGGGGGTGTTGGGCGTTGCGTTTCTGCGTGAATGACTGGTTTTGAGTATTGGGTTGCTTCTTGGGTTTCTAGGCTATTGGTGTTGTGTTTCGCTTTGTTTGTTGTTGTTGTCGTCTATGCTCAGGGCTGAGATGGGAATGCTATACCATACTATACTCTATTGATATGCGCCTTATTGATATTTGATATTCAAACAAACACACCGGGCATCATCAACCGTCATCATTATCATTAGACCTAAATCTCAGTAAAACTCTCCATGCAAATGCAGCATTGTATCTCATAACTCATGCTTTCCATCCATTGCAACGAACCCAAACACAACTCACAAATCACAGTAAAAACACAAGAAAAAAAAACTGAAGGGTATCAAAAGAAAAAACACCGTCCCATCCCATCCTATCCTTCATTTCCCCAAAATCCTACGACCTCAAACTCCCATCAACCGACAACCCCTCCACCGCATCCAGATCCACCGCCCGATACCCCCCCTTCCCGGGCCTCCGCGGCTTCCTCGGGCCCTCCACACTCGAATGCTCCTCCATCACCGTCACCACATCCGACCGCTCACTGGACACCACACTCGCCTCCACCATCTCCGGCGGGTGCTGGCGATTCCGCTGATGATGTTTGGAATGCGGCGGGTGGAGCCGTCCGTGCGGGGGCAGGTACCCTTCCTCGATGATTTCCTCGCGTCGGCGAGTGCGACCCCCGCCCCCGGGCCGTCGGCTCCGTCGCGACCGATGCGAGCGCGGCGACCGCGTCGAGCTGAGGTTTTCTTCCACGATGATCTCGGAGTGCGACGAGGGCGAGGACGTCGTGCTGCCGGAGAGGATCGTCCCATCTCCGTTGGTGGTGGAGGGGGAGAATTTGCGGCCGGAGGTCAGGGCCAGATAGATCAGGTACAGGAGGAGGAGGAAGCCGAGGACGCTGCCTAGGACGATGCCCACGATTGTGCCGGCCGGTAGGTTGGGGGTGTAGCTGTAGGTCGAGGGGAGGGTGGTGAATTCGCGGGCGTTGCGCGCGTGATTTTGTTGGATGGTTTCGGGGGGTATTCGGGGGGAGAGATGGGTGGGTGGCATTTTTAGGGGTGGTGGTGGTTGTTGTTGTTGTTGTTGTTGTTGTTGTTGTTGTTTAGACGGTGATGGTGGTGGTGGTGGTTGGCAGTGCGGACGGAGTAAATAGTGGAGTGAGTGAGTATGCGATAGTCGTGATTATAGACGTGGAGAGGTCATAGTCTTGTGATTCGACCGTGCAACAAAGGGAGAAGTGAATGCCTGGGTTGAGGTCTGAATCTGAGATACGAAGGAAGAAGAGGAAAAGTAGAAGCGGAGATGACGAAGGTCAGTCAGGCAGTAACTAGGTACGAGTCAATAAATGGGTGGCTGGGATGGATGAAGATGCGATGGATCAATCAATGGAGTGGAGCTAAAACTGACGACCCGCCGGGTCTTCCCCGCTGGGTGGAGTCAGTCTCGCTTACCCATAACTACGTAGTGTAACTATAGTGTAACTATACTAAAGAACTACTTCAGTACTTCAGTCATATCAATCAGCTCCAGCTATCGAGGTAAAACTCACAGCACACTAGGATCCTGTCTAATTTATTCTACAGCAGGGTTTGAGTATATCTCCGATACCGTAACGTGATGTACAGTACAGTTAGTACTATACCCCCTGACCAGTAGCTCATTACCCAGCTAGGTAATTGGTTCTCTTACATCCTTGGTATGGAGTATTGCTCACTGTCCATAGTATTATAGCTATTCCAGCTGTGATAATGGCCTGATGGAATGAAAGATTCTTTCACCGCACTATTCTCATTCATCCTTTGCTACGCCCGTCCAATCGTGAATCCTGCGGAGCTTGTTCATACGACGGGCAACCACTGCCAATCTGCAGTTATACCAAAACACTTTCTAGAAAGCTTCTCTGCTATCAACAAAGACAGCACAAGCTTCCAGTGACTCTTAGCACTGGGCTGGAGAGCACGCGCATAGCATGAAGAGCAGCCAGCACTTCACTGGGTCCAATCCAGCTGCGTTTGCTACCGCCGCAACGCCAATGACGCAACGGCCTATGCTCCAGCCTATGCTGTAGCCCATGCCACCCTGCCCCTTAGGACAGACCTCGAGTATAGCTTATACAGCCCATAGTAGGGTGTCGCAAACAGAACGAGGTCGCCTCGGTCGATTCATCAACGCATGGATTGCCATTGGAAACTTGTCCCCGAAATGATATCCGATGCGCAACCGAGAGATAGCCATTAGCTCACACGGCGTCAACCTCAACTGCTCCTAATACCGCTCAGCCAGTCAGCAGACAAGACGTTAGCAGGCGGAGGTGGAACCTGGGACTTGAGAAGACAATGGGTCTGGAAAGAGGATGATTCATCCCAATCCAGGAGATCGTCGTTAAGATGTCCGTAGCGAAGAATGGCACAGCGTCCATGCGCAATTTCCTGTCCCAGTCAGCCGGGATTCTGATTGGAACAGATCAAGGGCCCTCTCCTATGTAGTCCAGCAGGAATCGGAGGACTTGGAGGTGGTGAAAGGTCCGCCCAAAGCGGCGGTCGTCGGCCCACTTCCCTCAATCTGGCCCAAAGCATCAAGCTCCAGCTGAAAGGAAGTCTTCCTTACCGTCCACCCTCCCACTTTCCTCCCTCCTCCTTCCACCCACCACACCTGTCAAAACAACCTTAGTCCTGCTCAAGCACATACGAGAGTAATCGCTCAAGTAGTACTAACCTCCAGCACCACAAAACTTCCATCCGCATCCCCCACTAACCATCCATCTCACCTAAAGCTGATCCACCATGGCCAACGCACCCACTGAGCCAGGTATGCGCGAGAGCGGAAGCCCGCTCGCAATGCTCCTCTCCGAGCCAGAATTTACTGCTGAGAAGTCGTCGCTGTTTGATGAGGTCTGCCCCGGGAACTGGGCAGATATTGGTATCGGATACTTCCGCAATTGCGAGCTGTGTTCTGCCTACCTTCCGCCAACGGACCCTAGCAGGCAGATTTACCGCTGTTCAAGGCCCGCATGTCGGGCTCTCTATCACCACGAGTGTCTCGAGGAGGTGCTTACCGGATTGAGGGAGCAGGGTAGTCTGCTCATGCCGATGGAATGTCTCCGCTGCGGCACCGGGTGGGATCTTGACCCGGACTTTGAGGAGTCAGAGCGTCGCCTCAAGATCTGGCGCCTTGACGAGCTACGGCAGAAGAATATACAGGAGCTTCAGCGGCTTCGTCGGGAGCAGCTGGAGCAGCAGGCGGCGCGGAATCATCCTCAGGTGCAGCAGCAGGCACAGCAGCGGCACTTTACGCCCCAGCCCCAGCAGCAGCAACAGCAGCTACAGGCGACGGTGCATTCTCTGCAACCTCAGCCTCCTCAAGATCAGCAGCCCGAGCAGCAGATGCAGGTGTCTCCTCAGCAGCTTCAGCCTCCGCAGCAGCAGCAGCAGCAGCAGCAGCAGCAGCAGCAGCAGCAGCAGAAGATACAGATACATTCTCTGCAGGGTCGGCCTTCTCAGCACCAGAAACAGAGCCAGCAGCAGGTACAGGTGCATTCTCAGCAGCTTCGGACTCCTCAGCACCAGGGGCAGAACCAGCAGCAACAACAGGTATATCCTCTGCGGTGTCAGCCTTCTCAGCACCAGCAGCAACCTCAGCGCCTACACCTGCGCCAGCGGCAGATGCAACCTCAAAACCAGCAGCAGCAGGTACAGATGCATCTTCAGCAGTATTCTCAGACACAGCAGAATCATCAGCAGTTTTACCAGCAGCAGATGCAATCTCATCATCAGCTACAGACACAGCGTCAACTGTATCAAGCTCAACTCCAGCAGCAAAAACAGCTACATCCTCAGCGGTATTCTCAGGCACAACAGAATCACCAGCAGCAGCCTCAGCACCTACGCCAGTACCAGAACCTGCAGCAGATGCAACCTCAGCATCAGTCACAGATCCAGCGTCAGCTACATCAAGCTCAGTATCAGCAGCTGCAGATGCAACATCATTCTCTGATGCCGCGACAACATCAGCAGCCGGCGCAACATCCAGTTCGGATGCAACAGCAGGCTCAAATACATCATCATCCACAAATACAGCAGCAGCAGCAGCAGCAGCAGGTACAATATTATCCTCAGATGCTGCGACAGCATCAGCAGCCGGCGCAGCATTCAATTCGGATGCAACAGCAGCTTCAATTACATCAGCCTCTACAACATCAGCAGCAACAGCAGTATCCCCAGCAGGCGTAGCAGCGGCTTCAAGTACAGCAGCCTCAGCTGCACCAGCAGCCGCAACACCAACTCCCCCGCGGCCCCGAGCCCCACCGCGCTGCATCGAAAAAGGCGCGATCAGCGAAGAAACCCCGTAGGAACAGGCCTGATCTTCCGCGTGGTCAAACAAGAATCCCAATGAGCTTCACTGTAATAGGAAACCGCTTCCATTGCACTCTTATAGAAGACGGGGTGCCTTGTCGCCGGCGTTACGTGGAAATTGCGAGTTTGCGGCGGCATTACCGCACGAAGCACGATAATGATTTTTCGTGCCCTCACTGCCCCGATGTGTGCTCCACCGACGAAAGCCTATCTAGACATCTCGCGGCAGTGCATGGGGTGACTGCGAGGGCTCCTGTACCTGGGGCGACTCCTGTGCCGGTGGAGACTCCTGTGCATGTGGCGACCCCTCATGGCACGGCTCCTCATGGCACGGCTCCTCTGCGTAGGATAGCACCTAAGCAGAGGAAGTAAGAGACAGTCCCCTGGGACTGGAGCTGAAATCAGAGACATGATGGTTTCGCGTAGATTGCACGTAGTTATGCTCTTTCTCATTTTATTCGCTGATCGAGATGCCCGACCTAGTCCACTCCGTAGTTGACAGGATAACATGATCTAATTTTCGAGTAGCTTTAGGCTACATTTAACTCTACTGCGATGAGTCTTGGACGTAAAAGTAGTCATCAGTTCAAATTCCTGAAGATCAATTCTGCCTTAGATGTTCTTCACTCTATTCTTACACTTCCCCGTGTCAGCCATTCCAACTGCACCCACGAAACCTGTAGAACCTGCAGTGACCTTGTCATCGCATACTAGCCCCGGCGACCTTCAAGCAGAAGCAGCAAGACCCAAGTAATCCTCAACCCCATCAAAGCTGCCCCAGACTGGACTCCAACAGACTCCCCGACGCCTTGACCGTGAACTTGGCGAAATCATCCTTGAACACAACATGCAGCAGATTCTCACAGCTCCCTGCTCAGAAGATTAGCCCACTTCCCCTTCCCCACAACCACTAAGCTCCCGTAGGAATGCACATACCTTGCAATCTCACCTGTTCCCCGGCACAAAACAGCACCACCCAATGCCGCACCTTACCCCGCGCCACCAAATCCGCACACTCGCGGGCGATCGCGCGCAGATCGAAGCCCGCCGCGTACCCGTGCAGCAGCTCGATGCGCCAGCCCACCGCGGGCACCTCGACCGCCGTGCGCGGGCTCGCGGTGCGCGCCCAGTCGCGCGTGACCGCCCCACCGAAGATGTTGTGGCTCCAGCAGCTCTGGTAGAACTCGTCCTGGAACAGATCGGCCCGGGCCCGGACGCGACCCGCGGGACCCCGCCGGCTGGCGAAGGTGTTCTGCAAAGACTCCGGGGGCAGGGACTGCAGAACGCGGATGCAGAATTCCCGGATCTCCGGGCCGCCGCCCACGCCTTGGAAGCTGGGTTCGGAGATGCCGCTGTGTTCGTATTCGAGGAAGCTGTTTGGGTTGAGGTTAGTAGTGGTAGGCTGAGGGAGTGGGGATGGGCTGGCTGGCTCACCGGGCATGGAGGTTGGAGGGGAGGACGCAGAAGACCTTGTTGGCGAAGTCGAGGAAGGTGTACAGGAAGCCGTATTTGACGCAGAGCTTCAAGTCTGGGTCCTTGTGGTTGAAGCGGATGTTGCCCTGGCGGAGTACCCGGAGCAGGATGTCGATCATGGGTTGGGTTAGAATCCCGTTGGTCATGTACTTCGATGGCAGACTCTTCCCGGCGGGCTGGTATCGGATAAATTCGAGGGCGTCGTTGCTGCTCAGGAACTCGCGGAATTCATCGGTTGGGGGCGACAACATATCATTGTTGATGTATTGTTGGAAGTCTCTTCCTGCGTACTGTTGAGGTTTTAAGTTAGAAAGCGGCGAGAACTAACGGCAGGTTCAACTGGGGCTTTGACTCACCTGGCATATATATGCCAGCAGGGCATCGACCATTCCAGGATGTCCGTCTGTCAGTGCCATCAAACACTCCCGACCATAGTGGGACAGGTCAGGGCAGCCGGTCGTAGCACTGTGCCTCTTGACCACATCCTGTAGCTCGGATTGGGTGTAGAAGACGGAATACATGGAGCTCGGCCAGTAGGGCAGGAGGGTGACTGTGCGCGATGGTTTGAAGACAGGTTGAGGTCTGCTGAAGCGCGCCTCGAGGGACCCAGTCCTCAAAGACTCGTGCGCAAAGAACAAACAGAAACGAGGGCCATGCTGCTTGCCGAATCGGGCATCGACAATCTCGGACCAGAAGTCAAAATCACCGCAGGTCTCGTGTGCGTCATCCAAGATGAACACCAGTCCGCTGTTGTGATCACTCTGAAGATCGCCGTGCACCTCGTCCTGACTCAGGCCCTGCGCATAGGCTGCCTGGATCAGGTAATTCAATGAGCTACAATTCCTTTTCCAACCTTTCACGAAGATGACCTTGCGTGTCTGGCGAAGGAAGTCCCTCAGCAAAAGAGCAAGGGTTGTCTTGCCGGACACGGGTGAGCCTTGTACATAGACGACATGTTTTGTGTCGAGCTCTTGTGCTATCCCAAGCAACGTGTCAATTCGTGGACAGATCTCAGGTCCTTTGTGTATGTCCGGCTGTGGTGATAGTGCAAGCATGGCGGCTTGTTTCTTGGCTGGAACTATGAAAGACATTCAACAGACAAATCTGTGGACAGTTTGCTGGGTAACTTACTTTCAGTGTATTCCAGGTGCTTGCTGAGTGAGTGATGGCATTCAGTGCATGAGGCCACTTGATCAATAGCAGATACAAAGGACTCAGCGGTGCCCATCTTACAGGCACACACGTAGCCTTTGTTTAAGCCCTGGACAGTGCATTTCCCAAGTAGTGTCTTCACCTTCTTCAGATCCGTCGGAGTAGTAGCTGCTGTGGAGGATGCCGGAGTAAAGACGCCGGTCCCGTCAGATGACGAGGACTTCTCCATGGGCTGAGACGACATCACTAGAAGGGTCTGTAGAAGCAAGAGAGAACCAAGAGGAAGCTGACTATGTAGATGGAATCGATGGTCTTCTCTGAACGAAAATACTCAGCTTCACATCCGTGGCTGGGCAGACCGATGGTTGGGAAGATTGACACCGGAATGTTTCTCCGTGAAACTGAGCGTTGCGGGAGTTCGATAGAACACAACCAAATTTTAACCCGAGAGCGAACAGGTGGCTGAGTGGGATAGGAGGAAGTGAAGTTCCGGTGTAGTGATGTGTGGGAAGTGAATGCCTGCGCGGATGTGTTCATCATGACTGCCGTCTCAGGATCGGTGCAAACAGGCCCCGTCATGCAGTGTTCAGTGTTCATCCCCCACCCACATTGCTGACACAGTCTCACATCGACAAAGAATCCAAATGCAACATGCGAAGAAAGAGATCTATCAAGAACTGTGAATGAATAGCCTTACCCCAACCCCCACTTGCAGATCCTCCTTTTCCTTCTTGCTCTTCTTCTTCTCCTTCTTCTTCCTCCTCCTCCTCGTCGTCCTCCTCCTGGTCTTCTTCTTCTTCTTCCGCTCTCTCTTTTCCTTTCTTTTTCTCCTTCTCATCCTACTCGTCCATAACGACATCGAAAACAACACAGCCATCAGCAGCAGACAAGCTGACTTCCAGTTCCAAGCCCCAACACATGCCAACTCAGTCCGCCAGAGACTGAAAAGATACCCAATGACACCAGCTCGTCGATGTACTGGCTGCACGGAAGACATAAGCCGGGCCAAAGTGGCACGCTCGCACTGTTCGCATAACTACTGCTCATCTTGTCTAGAACGCTGCTTCAAGTCCTCACTAACAGAAGGGGGCCGGTTTCCTCCAAGATGCTGCGGACGGCCCTATGACATAGCCACTGTGGGCAAGCACCTCACACCTGAGACCCTCCGGCAATACGAGAAGAAAAAGGTTGAGTTCGAGACTCCGAACAAAGTATACTGCTCGCGTGGACGGTGTTCTGCCTTCATCCCCTCAACGTGGATCGCCAACAACACGGCAAATTGTCCCAACTGTGGCCACCAGACGTGTGCTGTCTGCAAGGAACCGTTTCACACGGGATTTTGCTCACAAAACACCGACTACAACCGACAGATGAGCGCCGCGAGGAAATACGGATGGCAAACATGTCCTCACTGTAGGCGACTCGTGGAGCGTCATTCCGGATGCCAACATGTGGCGTTAGTCAGAACCTCTCTAAGCTCCCCCTCGTTTTTCCCGCGGCTCCGATACTGAACCAGAACGTGCCCCCCTTTAGGTGCCTTTGTGGCGTCGACTTCTGCTACTTCTGTGGTAGAGTTTGGAGGACCTGCGGGTGTAAGGGTCCGGCTGCTGATCCCAGGGCTGACGAGTTCGCGCGGATCATGGAGCGCTCGGAGAACCTCCCTTCTGGAAGCGTCGAATACATCGGCCCCGCCTTTCCGGATCGTGGTCATGTTCCCCCTCCTGCGAGCTTCCCTGAGGCTCCCCAGAACCCCCGTCGCTCTCGGGGTGGTGGGCTTTTTGGAATATTCACAGGCCGTCGCCATGCCCGTGCCCGGGATCCTCCAGAATCTCCCGGGTCGCCCGCGGCCACTCCACGGGGTGGTCCGTTCATGAGCGGCCCGCCCCAGAGTCCCTCCCCTACAGGTGATGGCTTCCACTCCTCCCCGTCCGTCCCTCTGGGCCTTACCCCGGTTGGGTAGATTTCGACTAATCAGCCCTCTTGTAGTAGAACAGCGACCTCGACCGGCTTCCCAAGCCCATCCGTCTTCCCACCTCTGGGGCCAACCGTTTCGGAGTCACCTCGCCGTGGGTAGTATGGTGAGCAACCACCTTCGCCAGCAAGAGCTTCGGCGCGGTGGGACGTACCAGCCCGAGGCGTACCATCTGGAGCGGATCAGACAGGAAGTCCTCGAATTCCGGCGCCAACATGAGAATGACTGGAAGTTCAACGATGCAATTTGATGCGGCTAGCTTCTCCTTCCTGCACTGCAGGAGAGATCCAGTTTTCTGGTGAATCGTGCGGTGAAGGAAGGAGACCATGGAGGATGCGCCATATCTCTGAATCTATTGTACCCGTGTATTTGGGGAGTGCCGTGGATTTGCATACTTTGGAGATTTCACCACTTACCGGCGAAACAGGACTTCGTTGTCTGGGTACTTGCTGTATCCTTCTTTGGAACGGAGTCGAACTTGAGGCTGGAGCTCGATGTTATTTCTCTGTGTTGACCGTCTCATGTTGACTTTTGCGTACTTTATGATACTGAAATTCGATAGGGCTTTTGCAGGTATAATATTAATCGATCTCGGGTCTTGATGGCCTGTGTAGTTCTGTTTCGGTACGGAAATGCGCATATGAGCCTGATCTTTGCTGGGGCATGTCCCCCTCTGGTCCTTGCTAGGTTGTGCTCCGGCTGTTGAGTAGGTGAGCATCTGCTGGTAGCCGAAGGAATATATCGCATCGAATGGATTGAAAGCTCAACACTGTTAGTTCAAGGCCTCGGCAATTCACATAAACTGCCAGCCATTCTCAGCAAAGTTCAAGCTAGCTAGTAGGACTATACTGGCTGATGTTTTGCTCAGCAATGGGTCGAATAGTTATTGCGCAATCTCTAGAGAAGTAGAGGTGGTGGCAGATGTTGGCCAAGATAAATAATTGATTTATAAGATAAAAAACATGGATCAATATCATCAAGTAGCATCATTGGTCTAGTGGTAGAATTCATCGTTGCCATCGATGAGGCCCGTGTTCGATTCACGGATGATGCAACACTATTTCCTTTTTTGGGAAACCCACCATTTTTAGCATCCGTTTCTCGATATCACGATTTGGTCATGGACCTCAACTTGATCTCATGATCTCATTTGAAGTTATTTGATCATTTTCTAACATCACAAAACACTGGCAAATCGCGTCACTGCCATTCAAGCGCATTTGTCATCTCAATTCAACTATATACGTGAGTAAATAAATCCTGAATTCCCTCACCTCCAACTAGTACGCTCCCTTCCGAGCCTTGTACTTGGGCTGATCCACCGACTTGACTCCCTTCAGCGCCGTCAGGACCGGAGTCTCGTAGCTCAACTCCAGGCCCTCCACCTTGGCACCACCCTCATTCTGGGCCCACACACTCAGTGCGATCCAGTTCGTTCCTTGGTAGTTCAAAATACCCTGGGGAACCGGGAAGCTTGTCTGGGGTCCGATGTTGCTCACATACTTACCGTACTGGTATCCGTTCACATACAGCTGCGCACGATACGCGTCGGGAGTAGTGCTGTTGGCGAAGTTGAAGAACAGCGGCACGTCCCATCCAGTCGGCAGGTCGAGCTCGAACTCAGCACTATAGAATCCGATACCGGGCTTGGAAAGACCGTCAAGAGGACTGGCGGACTTCCATTTCTGGCTGGGAGGTTGAGGCTGGTGGTATCCCTGGCGTTCGGCGTAGAGACCACCCTCGTTGAGAGGGCCGCGAGTCTTATCCTGGTAGTCTTCGCCGCCGAGGTTGCCCGTCAACTTCCAGGAGATGTCGCTGGCGTCGTGGCCGGCAAGGTCATAGTTGAGGATACCACGGGGCGCCTTCATGAGTTCTGCACCGACGGTCCAGTCCTCGTCCAGACCAAGGTTATCGACGACCACCGTGAAGACGTATTCCTTGCCGGACTTCAACTTCGGAAGAGTGACGGTTTGATTGTAGTCAGCGTAGATAAAGAGACCGGTGAAAGAGCCAAGGAAGGTATCGTTGAGCCAGATGGAGCTTCCAAATGCAGTACCACCCTGAGTATCGACAGTAAAGGTGGTCTCATCTCCGGTAGCGACGAAACGACCACGGTAGATCAAGTAGCCAGTGTGGAAGCCATAGTCGGACGAGTATAGCGAAGTCGGAGTGGTCAAGGGGCGGAACGTGTTCTTGGTCTCAGCAAGATCGGCGGCTGTCCAGAGAGAGTCGTCGTACGAGGATTGGATCTCAGGAAGCGTGTCCAGGTACTTCCAGCTCAGGCCCTTCAAGCTCGGAAGCGAGATCTTGGGGGCGCTGTATTTGACTTCCGTCGTCCAAGCACCATTCTTTGCGACTGTGTGACTGGTCTTCTCTCCATTGATGTAGAGGTTGCGAGTGGTGGCCGGAGCACCAAAGACTTCGATGGGGGTGGTGGCGTTGAAATCGGCAGTGAGGTAAAGGCCGTTGCCCTTGACATAGGCAGTCCGCACGAGGTAGCCTGCCTTAACAATAATGGATGATGCAACTGCAGCCTGGGTGCTGAACTCCGTTGATGTACTATCTTTACCGACTTGCGGTGCCCAGTAGCTGTACGCAGAGTTCCGATCTATTCCTAGTCAGATCTATTGACCTAATCATGAGATATAAAGTCTTACCTAGGAGATGGATCTGCAAGTCTCCAACCTTGATTATCTGACGAGTAGACGAGACATCCCAGCCAATCACAAGAGACTTTCCAGTCTGCTTGGATGAGATGGCAGATGCCTTGCCTTCGACAATAGTCACGTTCGACTTGGTAGTGATCGCGAGCTCATGGTGCTCATCAGCTCCTCCGTACAGAACGAGGACCTTTCCGTCAGAGAACTTCTTCCAGGTGAAAACCTCAGCAGTTGAGTACAAGATGTTTGTTCCAGAGACATCATAGTCGACAACGTGGATCTTAGAATCGCGCCCATTGAGGCTCAGGCTGCCTCCCAGCTGAGGGATTGTCAGACTACCAGCACTGGTTGGAACCTTCAGCTTGTATGAGGTGGAGGCCTGGCTGGTGTAGTCCGAGTGTCTGACAACAAAGAAAGAGCCAGTGTTGTTGCTACCGAGCAAAGGAGTGACGGTAATGTCGGAAGTATCGGCATAGCCCGAAGTGGTCAAGTTTCCTGGAGTGGCAAGGAGGTAACCTGGCGAGGCCTTGGCAAAGTTACCAAGGAGCTTCAGCTCACTGTACTTCTCCCTGGTAAGATTGCGAGATTCGGTCAACGGCGAGCCATAGTCGTAGGAAGTGTAGCCATTTGCATAACCCAGGTTGCCCCAGTTGGTTCCTCCAAAAGTCTTTGATCATTAGTTGGCATGCGAACCCGAGAGAAGTGTGTAGAAAGCTCACCATGTACAGGTTGAGGATAGCAACGCCGAAGCTAAAGTCGTTCTTGTAGAAAACTCGTTCGAACTCGTGATTAACTAGAGCAGCACATTTGGCAAATCCAGGACCGCCCCATGGGTCAAACGCGCCAGCTTGGAACTACTACTGGTTAGATCTAGAACACAACATGGCAGTACACAACATACCTCAACAATCGAGTACGGAGTGGTAGGACTCTGTTCGAGATGAAGGGTGCGGAAGTTGGTAGGCAAGTTGCCAGCAGGCCAAGTGGAAGGGTTTGCCTAAGCGATATTAGCATAGAATTAAACACCGCAGCGCAAGTACATACACAATCAAACCCAAGCCTAAGCAAGTTAGTAATAGCTTAGCACAGAAGAGGGCCTTGACTTACGGGTAGCTGTCATGACCATAGATATTCACCGAGCCCTCGCCGGTTCCCGGGGCATTGTGCCCACTGGCAGAGGCATCGTTGCTGATGAAAGGCACCACGATGCCCGCATTACGAGCCTGGTCAAGGACGTATTGCATGTAAACGGGATCAGGGAACGTGACATTGCCCGAAGAGCCAGAGTACTCGTTCTCAGGCTGGTAGAGGATGATAGGACCGCCGTTAGTGATCTGGTACTTGGCAATGGTTGCGGCGACGTGCGCGATGTAGCTAATAACTGTCAGAAATGCTGCTGTGTAAGGGGAACAGAACACAAATCATACTTGTCAGTAGCTTCCAGGTATGGCTTGTCACTCGAACGAAGGATTCCATCGACTCTCTGCAGCCAACCGGGGAAACCTCCTCCAGAAACCTCGGCATTAATGTACGGTCCCGGACGGGCGAGAAGGTAGATTCCAGCCTCAGCAGCGGCTTCAAAGAAGGGTTCGAGCGCGAAAACGCCGTCCGCCCTGTATTCGCCCGGCTTGCCTTCCAGAAGAGCCCAGTCGACATAGAAGGAAACCGTGTTGAAGCCGAGAGCCTTGATCTTCTGGAAGATATCGATGTACAGGGTGGGAACTGGGATTCTGTTTTCGACACGTTAGAAACGATACAGAAGATAAGCTGTGGAATGACCGACCGGTATGGATGAACTTCTCCGCTGAAGATCATGATTCTCTCCCCATTGATGAAAAGTGACTTGTCGTCCCATGTGACCTTTTGTTCCCCTCAGTCAGTCAATGTCAATTGTCTCGTCTCTGACTGAGCAACGTACATATTTCTGAGACAAATCCCTCTTCGCTGCGTCAGGATGCTCGGTGAGAGTAAAGCCATTGAAGCGATGCTTGACCGCTGCGCCAGCTGCGTGCACCGCCAGCAAGGCAGCACCACAGACTGGTAAGAACCTCATGTTGGGTTAGATAGAGCTTGCCGCAAAAGCTGTATCGACCCAGAGCAATTGGTACAGTACTGCCGTACCCAGTGTGGTCCAGAGTAGAATTCCTCCCCGCAAAACAGGGGGGGCAAGTGACGCATTTTATCCCCCCCCCCCTTTGCTTGCCTTCGGCAACCCCTCTTGTGTAGGCTGAATACTGGCCAAAATCGTTGGGATCTTAGCCGGGCCGCGACTCTCGTTTGTGAACCAGCCGCATTGACATCATATGGCGCGAGGTCGAAGAGAGGGGAAGTGGGACTCGCATATTAAAACGAAAGGTACTAGAGACAGGCATACAGGCAATCAACGGTGGCCAACTGAGTCTAGCGAGAAGATGGAGTGATGGTGGTGGAAGAAGAGCAAGAGACTAACGAGGAAAGCGGCCTAACGATCCTCCACAGGGGCAGTGCCCCGTTGGGTTAGACCCGCTGGTGGTTTGTTTGCTGCGGGGGTTTTCTTCTTCTCCGCACCTGCATCTTCTTCCTCCAGGCTTCCCTTACAACTTACGGAGTACCAATTTCTCTTTATCTTCCCCTCTGCACTCGTCGATCTCGGGTGGTGATAATCTGGCCGTCGTACCTGTTTATGGGTACTCCCATGCAGGAACGGATTTCTGATGTGTGGTATCGAGGCTACTCCCTCCCTTTATTGAGATCATCGCAACGGTAATGGAGTAATGTGGTGCTTCGCCATGACGGAAGGACCCTGGACCCAGAACCCAATCAGTCCAAGCTTCACGGATGGCTGGACTGTGGGGTGCCACCGGAGAGTTCTTGTTAATTTGTGGATAAATTCTTCGAACTACTGACTGTCATCATTTAAGTTGAATCATGCCATCCCCACACCTCTTTCCCGGGATGGACGCCTTCGCTCAAGACAAGCAAGAAATGAGAGCAGCCTGAAAATTGCAAGACTGAAATGATTCCGCGGAGCTTGGCTTGAATACACCAAATTGCATTGAATTCACGATTTACGCTTCATATCCCTTAGCCTTTGTGAAGGTCATCGTCATCCTGAGCTCAGCTGTAGCATGGACGAGCTAGCAACGCATCTTCTGCGCCCGATAGTCGCATCATTTTCTCCGACATTCACCCGGGATGCAGCAGAAACAGGACCCCCCACTCTGACATTAACCGAGAGGTTTCAAAGTTAATCTAAAGAGTAATGAAAAAAAAATTATCCATCGTTTCGAGCTCCGGCTCACTCTGACATTTCTGGCCAAACGTATGCTTTGCCGTGACATTTTAGGACGAGGCCCACTCAATGGACCCTGAAGGCTCCACGACCATTTTTTTCTCATGCGTGTCTAACAACACTTGTTTCTACCCAGAGCGTCCACAATGCCTAGTTGTTGCTGCGAGCCCGCAAGGTGACAAGCTCCCGCACATATCGCTTCAGGTCCCTCAGTTGCAGGCTTGGCTGTTGGAACGCGACCTGGATTTCCTCCAGAGAGCGGCCGCGGGTTTCGGGCATATAAGCCGCCAGGAAGGCGACGGTGCCTAGCGCCAAGCCACCGAATAGCAAATACACGCCGAAGGGCGATTTATCCAAAATAATTGGAGTGATAATAGCGACCAACCAATTCGTGAACTAATACGCATGCGTCTCATGAGTTACAGATCCCCTAAAGAAAGACAGAAAAGGAAGGGGGAAAGTCTTACAAAAGCCAACGCTTGTGCCACGCAATTGGCCGACGCGCGCACATGTGCTGGTTGGATCTCGCTGGCGTAGATCTTGCTCATGATTGCCCAGCTGACTGAATATGCTAGTCCGAACACATAAACTGCTGTGATGACCACCCACCGCGCCGCACCGGTCTGATGTACCACCCCAGCAGCATACAGGCCTCCGATGAGAAGCATGCACGTCGCGAGAACAAGCCCTCCCGTTATGGCCGATGTACGACGACCCCAGCGATCTGCCAGCAGGAAGGCAGGAATAGAGACGGCCAGCATGAGGATCGCAGATACCCCTGAGGCTAGAAATGACGCGGTCGAGGAAGATAGGCCGGCCTGGGCGAACAGGGTGGGCGCGTACTGGGTTCTTGTTAGTCACTTACGTGGCTGCAAGGGAAGCGCAAAGATCTGTCTCCATTGAAGAGACCGAGTACTCACATACAGAACCCCGTCTATTCCCGAAAGCTGTACCATTCCTAAGACAAATAGTCCCAACACAGTGCGTGGTCGATACGCTCGAGAGAACAGCAGCACGAAACTCTGCCAGGGCGACAGATTGGAGAAGTGCTCGGTAGCAGTGAAGCTGCTTTCGACTTCGTCCAAAGGAAACTGTAGACGCTGCAAGGAGCGTCGAGCCTCAGTTCGTCTCCCGTGGAGGATCAGCCAGCGGGGGGACTCGGGTAGAGTAAGGCAGCTGATAATCAGGCAAGAGGCAAAAAAGCATTGAGCAAGCAGTGGTAATCGCCAGGCTATACTAGAAGGAATAGCAACGGTAGCGTAGCAGGTGAAGTAGCCAGCACAGGTGCCCGTTACGGCAAAAAACTGCGGTAGTCCCGCGAGAGCGCCGCGGAATCGAAAGGGGGCAATCTCACATATGTAGACGCTCATGGGTCCGAGAAAGATGCCTTGACCGGCCCCAGCTAGTGCTCGGCCTGCCATGAAGAGCGCCAGCCGTGGTGCCATGCCCTGAAGAAGTGACCCGACCGCAAACAACGCCGCACCAAGCAAGATTATTCGCAGTCGACCCGATCGGTCCGCCATATGACCGGCTATGAGAGATGGAAGGATACCCGCCAGCATCATGAGCGCGACCGTGAATCCTAACAGGAACGGGGACAGTGGACCTATCGATTGGCTGAACTGTGCCATGGAAAGCAGCGCGCCAATCGAGCCCGTGTCATAGCCGTTGGAGAAACCACCGAGGGCGACAAGGACCGAGGCGAAAACGTATTTTGGAGGCAAACGCAGTGCCATGATGAAATATAGATAGATAGATGAAGAAATGAATGAGTTTCTGAGATGGACAGGACTGTACAAAGCAATGAAGATTGTGGGGGAGAAACCCCTACCCTCTCCATATTTGCTTATTGTCGATCTGTGCCCAGCTTGTATCAGATGCGGGGTTGAAGATAACGTCTTTGCGTCTAATATGTCATCGATTAGGGCTGACTTACGCCTAGACTCAGACACACTCAACACTTGCTGATCAGAATAGGTACTGCGAGAGCTGATCTTGTCTGTGCACTAGGACTTTACCTTGAAACGGGCGCAGCACTGCCTGATGGGCACTGGTCGTCGAAACTGTTACAACAGATGGTTGTCTTGAATCCTCTTTCTTCTCGCTTATTTGTCCCTGTATTTTATCTCAGGCTGGGTCAAAAGGAATAAGCCATCAGCGGATGATGACGATTCTTTAGCATACGCGGTAGTAGCGCTTCTTGATAAAGCAAAGCGTCCGAGAATTAGGTAGACATTTTCTCAGGAAGCCCACAGAATTCCAGGCCACATGTCGAAGTCTTCTGTGCCGTCTATTTGCAGATCATTTGGGTTGACAAGATTCATATCGTAATCCGACGTGCCAAGGAAGTCTTGCATTGTTGGCTCCAGGAATGCCATTTCCGTAGTATAGTTTGCGGGGGGCAACACTCCGTCATTATGACTCTCTAGTTCCGGGTCTGCGACTATTCCTTGGACCGATGGAATAGATAGCCTTGGTGTATGGCTACGGGGCTCTTGTCCCGCGCGTGCATTATCCGAGTTGGCGGGCAAAGCTTGCTTAACGCGCTTAAGGTTTTCATGGAACTCTGAAGCGGCGAGATTGCCTTGGCTGTTCATTCGGTGCAAGATCTCGGTTGCCGTTTCCAAGGCCTCCAGATCCGCAGGGTTTCCAATAGAGGGGAGGAGCCCTGAGATCACCAACGCGATGCATGAGGAGAACAAATACTGGGCATAGAAGTAGCCATACATTGGCAAGGAGCCATTAACCCATTCTTCAATGATCAAAGAGTGTGAGTGCCGCGCAGCGTGAATGCATGCTTCACTGATTGTAATCACGGGCTGTGGAAGGTCTTCAGAGGGTTCTCGATGGCCGCTTTGGAAAAGAGCGTGAAGTAGAATCGGGCGGGTGGCTAGGATGACACACTGATGCTTGTGATGAGAAAGTGTAGTTCATTTCAAAGAAAGGCAGATGCTTACCTGATTGAATTGTAAATGTAGGGAGACAATGTGCTTGGGAGGTGCGCTGTCCTCCTGACGTAACCGTACATGTTCTGGGAGCGACTTCAGCCAATCTTGTAAAGCAAGTAGCAACTGCTGCTCTCGCTGCAGGAATGGCTCTATGTGGTGCTTCCTGCCATAAACCTTGTCTATCGTCTGTCCTATAATGCGAGACAGTCGAATGCTAGCCACTAGGTATGCGGTATCTGAGAACTGCTCCTGGGCAGTGGGATCAGCAACTTCTGCTGGCAAGTCGACATGGATGTCTTCGTCGCGGATCTGCAATGGAAACCCAATTTTCGATGTAAACATTCGATCAAACACATAGATTGCCCACCAAAGTCGTACTCGGTGTTCACGTTCTATAGCATTTGCACACTGTTGTAGGGGGATATTATGGTTGAGTCCAAGAACTAGACCTAAACGCATCGCGCTGCCTATCAACATATACCCAGAATGCCTTCGGTTGAGGAAGTAGGAGTATAGAGACTAGTAGCCAGTTAGCTTTTCCTTCGCACAAGCAATGTAGGAGACCCCTACCAACAACAATAGACTCTCCACATATATCATCCCTGGCCGCTCCGGCATGGTGGGTATAAGACTCATTGCTCGAACGTAGTATTTTGTTCCTGGGACCTTGCTGGTGGGCGATGCACTTGACCGGGAGGAATATACTTCACCCAGCGCAAAGAGCCCGAAGAACTTGCATGTTAAGGCGGGATCATCTCGCAGTGAGGGGATCTGGTAGACAGACTCCAGCTGCTCGAGGGTCGATTTACGGAGGACTAGATGGTAGACACGACTCAATTGATTGAAAGCGATGCGGACCAGAAGACGAGCCTGGGCAAGTCCAGGCCACTGACTTGCGCCTTCGAGCAGGGAAGACTCAGGCGTATACTGAGTTCGCGCGACGTGAGCTGTTTTTGGGTCTCCTGTAAGAAATTGACGCAATCGCGTCGAGAATGCTGTGCACGCTGCTTCTCCCATATATATGGGAGGGGCGGATGAGTCGTATGGATAGAACCAAGCGCGATCTCCGATGAGTGGGTTCTGGACTGAAGGGTATGTATCAGACGACGGCACAGGGAGTTGTACAGAGCTGGAAGGAGAGCTATGAGGTGTGCTGAGAGCGCGTAGTTGCTCTTTCAACTGAGAATTCTCGGAGAGGATCTCATCAATGTAACTGGCCAGAATGGTCGAGGATCAGACGTGATTGAAGTGGGGAAAGTGAAGAAGGGAGGGGAAAAAGGTAAGGTACCTTTCCTGAACTTTGAGCTTTCTATCGCGGACGGCATACTGACAGGATTCCCCACACCCAGCTTGCCGACATCTTGAGCAAGGCTGTTCACCTGAACATTTGACTTTGAGAGAGTGACAGCGATTACAGCTGTGCCGAACGGATCAGGTCAAACACTGCACCTGCATTCGGGGAATTTCAGGACATACGCTACAGGTTTCTTGTTGAGCCTTTTCGGTGGATTCTTGACGACAGGCATGGATACTAGGATTGCTTCAGTGACCCAGTGAGAATATCGATTGTGAAGTGAACGAGTTGTGGCGGATAGTCGGCGAGTTGATCTTTGGCCGACAGGAGATTCGATGACAGCATACCTTACTCAGCATCGGCATATCCGCAACCAGCCGACCCCAGCTGAGATCTACAGCAAGTTCATATTACTCCTCGCAACAGATTTATCAAGGAGTCAAGGCTACTTTGGTCTCTGACTATAACTTGCCACTGTGGTGCATGTCATTATCAAGATGTCCACTGATTTCAACATCAACGGCAGAATAATATCAGCAACCGAGCAACGTTATAGGCGAGGTTGAGTTGCCGAGCAATATGATTTGGATTTTGGTTCGGCAGGTTCAGTGAATATGCCGAGCATTCGATGAACCAGACAATAAAACATGAAATATATCCAGGCAGAATCATGCCAGGATGTCCTGGGATACTAACAAGCATGAAATGATTCAATGCTTCATAAATCCAACTTCCGTGTTCGGTTTCACCTGGAGACCCCTTCCCAGCCCTTCAGCGTTGGGGAGACAATCAGAGGTAGTGTTTTGGTCACAAGCCATAGAAGCTCTTCTCCACTCCAGTTCGATCTTATATTTGAAGGTACTAAACATTGTCTATCTTGACAAGCACTCTTCACTAACAGTCCGGCAGGCAAGGTGAATGTACAGGTGGACCTTAGTGAGAACGCAGTGCCGTTACCACAACCAATAGCATCAACCACTTTTCTGCGCATGAGCCAGCCACTTGATGATCCCTCTGAACGAGCGGAAGGCCTTGACGCCGGAGTCGAGTATTGTCTAAGCTTTGAGTTTGTGGTTCCTTGCGCGCTACCACTTCAAGCCTGCCAGCATAGTTGTCGTCATGGACAAGTACATGAAGAACATCTCTCCCTTCCGCCAAGTCTTGGAACACTAGGCCTCCGGAAGAAGTCATTACATGGCAAGGATGATATGGCTCCTGAAACAGCCTCAGTTATTTACCACATATCTCTCCGCATAAGCAAGAAGTCTTTCAAGGCCGGGACAACAGCCCCCATTGTGGAATGGGAGCACCCGATAAACATTCGTCCGTTGCGTGTGGAGCGAGCACCGGTCCTCGTGCCACGGGAAAGCAAATTCTATTGCCTGCGGCGAGAAGTTGCAATCACAAGGGGTTTTTCCAGAGCACTCCAGGGTGTTCTGTCAGCCCAAGCAGTCCAACCCACAGCGATAGCACCAGGAAAGACTCCTTTTAGAATGGTGCCCATCGACCTGCATTACAGAGCCCTATCCGGTGCCCCTCCGCCAAAACTGTCAGCCATCAAAGTCGAGCTCCAAGCGATCACCCTCTTCGGCGCAAAGCCTTGGTCAGACTTTCCCGACTTGACCAATCCGGTAACTTGGGGCCGCCACCAGAACCATTATATATACCCGGTGTCGTTAGCAGACATGCAGCCCGGCCCTCTGAAGTGGCAGCCGAAGAGCACAGATGATGAGACCTCGCCGAGTTTCAGATCCACAATCCAGGTGCCCGTGGAGCTTCCTGGTGATTTTGACTACCCCCCAACATTCAGCCACTGCTTCATCTCTCGGGTGTATGCATTGAGAGTCGATATCTGTTATCGGGCCCCAGGTGCGTGGGGGAGAAGCAGAGTGTCAATGACTGTTCCGCTGCAGATATTGTAGATAGCTATAAGCACCGGAAGATAGAGATACCCCCCTTGTATATTAGAAGCTACTACCTATCAATTGCCGTCTTTCGCACCACCCAATGTGTACTTTTCATTAGAAGTCAGATCGGATACCTTTCGTATACTGTCTCCACCGTACGGTTATCAAGCCATACCTAGTGATACTAATGCCCATGAACTGTCCCGAAAGAAGAATGAGTCATCCCCTACTTCTGAAACCGCTCCACAGGATACCAGAAACAACCCCATTTACCCCCCCCCCAGAGCAACATTCACCCAGCACACAATGACGCTCCGAATATCTCCCAACCAAGAACAAAACGAGCCTAACTTCTAACCGACACTCCCCCTTTACTATACCAACTATCCTAGTCCCCAAGACGCCCCCACAACCCAACCCAACCACCAACCCCCTTCTCCCCCGGGCTCCCTCAAAATCTACTCCGTATAACAAGGCGTCCGATCCAACGCCGTGAACGCACTAATACACTCATACTTCCCCCCAGCATTGCAGGCGGTGCCGGCCGTTCCATCCGAGTTGCTGACCCCATCCGCGCGATGAGCGTTGGCGCAGATGGACGCGCAGTCCAGCTCTCCGGCGCTTGCGTCCTGAACACGATGGCCGAGTAGCGTTAGCGATAAACAAGCCCTCATTGGTGTGACATGCTGTGGGCGTTGGGGATGGATCTCACCGAGTACACGCAGCAATGCTCGCTGTTGGCGAATTCGCATTGGCAGTAGGTGCATGCTTGGGTGGTGGTGGCGAGGGCGCCGAGGAGGAGGAGGCCAAGGGTGAAGAGTTGGACCATTGTGGTTTTGCTCGAGGGTGCTTGGGGTGTTGATGGAGAGGAAGAAGAGGTTGCTTGCAAGAGGGAAGGCGATTGAGGAATGCTGGTGAGACAGGGTGAGAGGAGGGGGGTTGTCTTTCTTGCTCTTTTTATATTGTAGGGTTGAGCTGAGCTGTAAAGGAGGGAGCATGGTCGAGTACGTACTATCTCGTTCCTCATTGTGAAGGATTGGACTATGAGTTTAGTATACTGTACACCGCTGCTCTACCTCCGATGCCCTGGAAAACATCCCCCTCGTCGAATGATCCGTTCTCGAGGACGGTCTCCACGATCGGAAGGGCTGTATCATCGGGGAACAGCTGTACCGATCTTCCCAAAATGGTGATCTACGCGGCCTACCTTGACTGACGGAGCCATCGTGCCATATCAGCAGGATTGCTCTGGATCATAGTGGACATAGATGTGTAAGTTTGCATGGGAGTGAACATGATCGACACGATCCTGCTCCAAATGGGCTCGGCACACTCTAAATAACTTTGGCTTTTGACGCTAAGCTGAGACTAGCGCTGGCGCTGATTTAAGGAGCGTAGTCCATGATACTATAGATATGATTTAGGTTTCAGCGACATTGTTCCGTCGGAGTGAGACAATTAATTTATTCTGTGATCCTTCAGGTTGTTGGTGTATTTTGTGCCGCGTAGTCCGGCGGGGATCTTTTTGCGGTCAGTCATGAACCACATGTATGGTCTGCGTCTTGAGGATAATGCTTAGCCAAAGTTTGGTCTGAGTACACATCTTGTGGATCGTCGAGTCCGTAAGCTGCTCCGAAGGTGCGTATTATCTATTGTGCCAATGTTGTGGCAACATCCTGGCCTTGGGGTTTGCTAGGAAAGATGGGAAATCTATTGAACTTCTACACTCAGTTATTGATAGGAAAAAGATTATATACTGTGGATATATGATTATAGAAGATAGGTTACTCAAAAAGGGGTATGTACAGTAGATGGCTGACATGGCTTGAAATACAGCTGAGACTCAGTGAGTCACTGAAAAATGGGTGTACTAAGCAAGTAGCCCCCAGACTAGGCCGACGAAGCTCCCTAACTTAACAAGACGCAACAGAGGGATAGTTCTTGCAAGCACTGGACTTCTTGCCGCCAGTAACCTTGACATCAGTCCAGGTCCAATCCTTGCAGCTACCGCTGCCACACAGGAGGTAGACCTCCGTGGCACCGCTCGCAACACTACCGGTCACGCCATCCAGTGTGATATCCGTGACCGACACACCGTTGGTAGGCTTACCGGTGGGCTTGCCATCCTCATAGTCCTGCTGGATGACCACTCCGTAGTCGGTGATACCGGACATGATAATGTTCGTGTATTTGACGTCGGAAACAGAGCCCGTGGCGCCGGAGATGGTCTTGATGCGGACGGCATTCTCAGAGTTGGACACGGTGGAGTGCTCGATCGTGACGTTCTTGACGGTGTTGTCGGAACGGCCACCCACCGAGCCGATAGAGAGGCCGTGGCCGCCGATGCAAGTTCCGCCGGTGAAGTAGATATTCTAAGCAGTAGACCATGGATTAGTGACTGCCTTGATCAGCCAGGGGGCCGGAGAAAGAGGCTGATATACTTCGCCGGAGTTGATTGCGAGACAGTCGTCCTGGTTGTGGACCCAGGGCTTGACGATGTTCACGCCAACCGAGTTGCCCACGTCGAATGCGTCGGTGTTGTGGCCACCAAGGCTGTCGCCATCAGCGTTGTTGATGGTAATATCGGTGAGGGTGATATCGTTTGCCTCGATACTGAAGGCCATGAGAGGGGTATTCTTGATCTCGAGTCCAGTGATGGAGGAGGAGTCCAGCCCGTGGGCGTAGAAGAACTTGGGCTTGGTCTTTCCGCTCGTTCCCTTACCATCCCACCAGCGGGAGCCATCGCAGTTGATGAGATGACCGGAGGCTCCGGTAACGGTGATGTCCGTGCCACTCATTGAGATCAAGGGACCCGCCCATTCCTCATAGCCAAAAGTGGTGGTGCCCTCGAAGGTGACATGAGTGCCGCTCTTGAGGCCGGTCAAGTCCAGCGTGGTTCCGGCAGGAACAGCAATGTTGTCGAGGACAATGGTCGAGCAGCTGGCCTTACCCGCCTTCGCAGCAGCAGCGGTGGTGAAAGTGCAACTGCCGCGAGCCTCTATGGGGGAAGCGGACACAAGAGTAGCCCCAGCAGCCAGGCTGTAGGCCACAAGAGAAGAGAAGGAAGGCATGGTGATTTAAGGAAAGTGTTTGTGTTTCTATAAGAAAAGAAAGCGAAAGGAACGAAAGTGGTAGAGAGTGATTGAGAGAAGGAGTGAATGATCGAGTGCTGTTGATTACTCTCGAGCGCCATGTTGACGTCTTATATGGTCCTGCTGGGTGAGCCTATCGCAGTGCTGCTCAATATCTTGTTCCCCTTTTGTCAACTGCGAATCACTCTCGCTCCGAGTGCTCACTCTACATGAAGTCAAGGCTAAGCTTAAACGGCATAGCTGGACCCCTTTGCAATCACTCGACCCTGATATCAATTGCAGTGCAGACCAGTATAGGGGTATTCTTCGGTACAGTACAGCCACAAACCGCTTGTCTTACCTGTGGTGGTCCAATGGCTTGCGTTTCAGGGTCCTGATGGCGCCTTCGGCTCGCCTGAAGATTCCCTGGCCTTAGGGTTGGTTGAACCTGGTTCAACCTGGTTGGGTCTAGTCAGGGTTCTGGTCGCAGTCCACAGACCACTGATTAAGCAATTTTACAAGCTTCGGCCTAGCGCTCTTGGTAAAAGCTCGGCTATACCAGTGTGGTCCTGTCGGCATAGAGTTTACGTACTAGCCGGTGACAGTGGGTTTTACTCCTTTTTCCTTCTCAAAACACAGGAACGAGACACCGCTAGACGGAGTGACTTGATAAGAAGATTTCCCTTTCGTTGATAAAACCGTTCTTAATCCTTACTCTGACCCAAACGCTGCTGATTGACAGACCCGAGGTTGATTCTCCCAGGCAAGAGGAGAAGAAAGAAGACTTGAGCCGGCAGTATATACTAGGTACAGTAAGTACACTGCAGCCTCCGTACAGTCCCTGATCATCATTGCAGGGTGAAGAATTAATCTGCAACCCACCAGTGGCGGCCTCTAACCGGATCCAGTTAGTCAGGGAAGCACGCGGAAGCCGCTCGTCACGCCCTGCCCGCTTAGATAATCTCTCCATCGGTTCACCCGTTCATGAGGTAGGAAGAAAGAATGATTCCATGAGATGATTATACAGCCAACCCCAGTTGTCCCGTCTCCAGAATCATGGGAGAATCTTTGCGGGTGAAGGAAGCCTTTGCGGCTGCCACCAGGTTTCTGGATCCTGTTCTCCAAAGAGGTATGCAGACCTGATAGCCCTTCCGTGCCGTTGATGTCGAGGCTAACCCAGTGTGAAGGGGAAATCCAAAAACATCGCGGAAAGTCCCTCCTGGACATTCTGCTAGGCAGCAACAGCTCTGAGACATGTGGAGAAGACGTGCCCAAACGAAGGATTGTCATTGGCAAGGCCTTGGAGATCCTAAGCTCCGTTCATACCGCCTTTGTGACACCACTGAGCGATGCCGATAACGAGGCCCTCCGCCACAGTTCGGCAGACGCAGAGGATGCTGCACTCGAAGATGCCAAGCGACGGCGGCTCCTCCATGCGCTGCTGGACTTGATCTCTCTAGAGGGTATCTACCCCTCGCTTTCGCGGGGAGTTGCGATCCCGCTTCAGAAAAGAGTCATATCGGTCTTGCCCGCAGGCGTCATCGCCCAGCAGGAGCAAGCTCCTGCGCACGAGAGGCCGCAGGACGAAACCCTTCTCGAGAAGATCATAATAGCACTTACCGATATAGTATTTGACTTACGACCGAGCATCCAGCCTGTAGTCCGTGGTCGTATTCTAAGTGATATGATCAGCGGGCTTTCGGATCTAAGTTACAATTCGATAGGGATGCTCGATGACCAAAAGTTACATTATCGTCATGGCCTTACCAAGCTGATCGAAGAGTAAGCTACTGCCAGGAGTGTATATTTATATTGACTAAGCCACGGCAGAACCCCCAGCACGGTAGTCCTTTCTACCCTCTCGCCGTTTCTTCAATCGGAGCCAGCCCCGTGGTTCAAATCAGTTGTCTCTGGTTTTTTATCTCGAATCCCCCTCCGGCCAGACGGGGTCTTACAGACCATGATGTTTCTAGCTTCTCAGCTTGCACCCTCCCTTGGGGTCGAGTCACAGACTCAAGTGTCCAATGGTCCTCATTTCACTGTACAAGCAATTATGCAAACATCCCGCCTACTGTCATCTGTACCACAAGGAATGGATACGGATAAGTACTTTACTGCGATCGCTCCACAGCTGTTGAATCTGATAGATGGCGAAGACCCGGATCTGCGGAAGACCGCAGCATATGTCGTCGGTAATGGTATCTTATCGAAGCGATCGTACGGGTCTCGTGGAACGATAGGCCATTCCATTTTCTTAGTACCTATCTTTGAGGCGCTCACCGCCAGCCTCAGCTCATCTTCAAGGCTATGGCTGACTAGCAGAGACGAGTGTCAAACGTCATCAGGACAGGTGTTGGTGGATGAGGCACTATTGATGCTGGCAATTGACAGACTGACCAGTCTAGTCCTCCAGCCTCCGAATCCAGGCCTCGTCAAGAGAGTCGTCCATCCAGTCCTTCTTCCCCTCTGGGGCCTGGCTTGCTATGCATTAGAACATCAAGCGACAGTGCTGCACGGAAAGGTGCTAACTATCTTACAAGCATACTTTGGTCTGTCAGGCGGACTAGAGCCATTGGAGAAGCTAGTCGATAACCTGCTCTGGGATGGCGGGCCTGCCTGGACTTATGGTATACAACCTCAAAAGTCTGTATCGCTAGTCAAGCGTGATTCGGCAGAAACAGGCCGTAACATTATCCGGCTCGTGGACAACTTGCAGTCGCGGGCAAAGCTGTTCCTAAGTGTCTTAGGTGCCGATCCTAATAGCGAGGTAAGGACGGGAGACATCTTCCTCTATGTCAGCGAGCGTTGGCTCGTGAGGCCCTCGAACGAATCAGAGATCCTCACCAGCATGAGACTTACACAAGAGGACGAAGACTCCAGCAATCTAATCCGCAAGCTGGTTAGTGCTAAGCTGGCTGAGACACTGCTGGATAATTTCAAGGATACACTATCTCGTCGTCCTCTCAGGGTACTCGAACTCATCAAGCAGATCATCGACGGCGAGCTACACGGAGCATATACTCGAAAGAAGAAGAGAACGGATCAGACATCCGGGAAAATGTCTCTTTCGTCTTTAGCCAGCATTGTCAACACCGGAGAAGCCGGACAAGAAGCAGATCCGCAATCGGATTCGACTGAATCCTTGCCCGCCGTATTTAGTCTGTTGTCGACAGTCCTCGCATCCCCCGAATTCACCACCTCCCCAGAGACAGTACCAGTGCTCGAAAGCATCAAATCCAAACTCGACGAACTCATCCCCTACCTCCCTCCCTCGCTATCCAAAGCCGGCACAACCGCCTCCATGCTCGCCGAGATCCAACTCAGCGAGCAGTCCAGCGATAGCACCAGTGCCGCGAAAACCTCCTCCGAGATCTCCGACTTCGAAACCCACCGCCGCGCACTAACGAACCTCAACTCCGACCTCGCCCCCATCCAAGCCGAGGGCTTCTCCCTCCTCTCCACCCTGATCAAGAAATCCTCCCCGGTCCTCGACATCCCCTCCACGCTTACCCTCCTCCTCTCCATCCTCACCGACCCCTCAGACGAACCGCTCACGAACGACGAATTCGTCTACCTCAACGCCATCAACCTCATCGGCACCCTCGCCTCGCGCCACCCACGCACCGTCCTCAAGACCCTGATCGACCGCTACATCGACCGCCCCGAAGCCAGCGGCGGGCACGTCGACCAGCGCCTGAAAATCGGCGAGGCCCTCCTGCGCACCGTCCAGGACCTCGGCGAAGCCCTCACCGGCGAACCCGCCCGCCTCCTCGGCGAAGGGATGCTCACCGTCGCCGGCCGCCGCGCCCACAAGCCCGAGGCCCAGAAAGCCCGTCGCGAACGTCTCGCCGCAGAACAGCGCAAGAAGGAGCGCGAGGCCCGTAAACAGGAGCGCGAAGCCAAGGAGATCATCATGCCGTCCGGCTGGTCCCTGGGGCCATCATCCCAAACCACCATCACCGACACCGCCACCAACCCTCTTGACGACGACGACGATGACGAGAAACACACCCCCGACCAACTCGCGCACTACGAAAACATCATCGCCGCCTGGTCGGCGGGCTCGAAATCCGACGCCGAGCCGGACGATCTCCGCGTGCGCGCGTCAGCCCTCTCCATCCTCGCTACCGCCATCCGCACCAACATCCTGGGTTTGGGGTCATCGATCCTCAGCGCCGCAGTCGACCTCGCGCTGGCCACGTTGACGATGGAGCCCGAGCCCGAGAGCGCGATCCTGCGCCGCGCCAGCGCGGTGCTCCTGTCGGATGTGCTGAAGGCCATGGACACCGTGCGCGAGGAGAAAGGCGCCGACGCACTGGGGTTCGGGTTCTCTTTGGCCGAGCAGAATTCTGCTGCTGCGATGAGGAATAACTCGACGACCGTGATAGGGAATATCCCGCGGATGCTGCGGACCCTCACGTTCGTGGAGAGCGGGGAGACGGATCCCATTGTCAGGGGTCATGTACGCGTCGTGGTTGAGAGTCTGGAGGCGTGGTTGGAGAAGGCTTTGATGTGGGGGATTGGGGCGGTGTCGAGGGGTGCTGCCGCTGCTGCTGCTGCTGATCATAACAATAATGAGGGCCCGAGGTTGGAGTTGGGAGATCGGATTGCCGGGCTGAGGATTGATCCTTTGGCTGGGACTAGGGAAGCGAGTCTACGCCCGAGGATTGAGGAGATTGAGTAGGGCATAAGAGATACATTGCTGTGTTGTTTGGGCTGAAGTTGGATCCGATTCTTGAACGGCTTCTAGCTTTTGTGGTCTTTCACCTTTGGAGGCTTCGGAACCATCTAGTTCTATGTTCTCGGACTCGAAAAGTCAACCGAAGATAGTATCAATGAAGTGCAGATGCATCTGATGAGAATTGATTGCCTCGTAAAAGCAGAAAGTGGCCAGTATTTGTTTGTCCAGTGACAAGCATTGTTTTCATACTACACACGAAACGACAAAGCGAAAACGAAGAGCTGTTTTGTCGACCCCAGCTATGCCAAGTCAAACGCATCACACCATAGAAATCATTGAGCAACCAGTAAAACGTAAGTCAAGCAGAACCCTCCCTCCCAGTACGCCTTCGTTTGCATCACCCCCAATACCGAAAGACAATAGCATCACAAACGAGATTGTCCTTGCTTCAACGCAGAGTAAATGGAGAACAGGAAGTCGTAAGTTTCAGTACGGAAGTCCGCGGCCACCACCACCACCACCACGCCCACGCCCACCTCCGCCTCCACGGCCGCGGCCGCCACGAAATCTGCCGCCGCCGCCCCCGCCGCGGCCTCGACCAAAGCCCCCACGACGTGGGCCTCGATCCCGGGGCCTGAACTCACTGGGTCGAGGGCCTGCGGCCATACGAGCTTGGCGTTCCTCGTCACTCATATGGAACTTGTTCTCGATCCCTATCAGCTCGCAGAACTGCGCGGTTTGCGGGTTAGTGTACTCGATGGGCTGCTCCTCCGTGTTAAGTGGGACAGCTGGGTCGTAGACTGGGGCCGTTAGAGTGAAGTTCTCGGGCACGTCCAGCTTTCCAGTCTGAACCACGTGTTCGTCCACCCATTTCTCCTCCTCTTCGATCAGCGGCTTATATACCTGATCGCCCTTGTCAGCCGGAGGCTTCGCGGCGGGGTCTCCGAGTTGAAGATCGTCAGCGAAGACACGGGTAATTGCTAGCCATTCTTTGTCGTACTGCAAACGATAAGGGCGTTCGGTACTAATGCCTTCTTGGTCGGAGATAGCTTCGATCTCGAGCAGCTGTAGGAAGTGGCGTTGAGGAAGGCATTTGTCAAGTGCCAGGAATTTAGTGGTCTTGTTGAAGATAGCATCGGGCAACAGTCCGTTCAATGGGTAAGATTCGGGCTGAGGGCGTGCGAAGCTGGCAGGAAGTTGATTGCGAATATCTTCAGGAATGTCAGTTCCACTAGCCGGCAAAGCCGGGTCAGCCTGCGTAGTAGTCTTTGAGTCATCGCTGGGGACTGCCTTGTTAGAAGAGGGCTCGTCGGTCTGTCCGGTCACGGGTGTAGAGGCTTTGTGAGGAGTCGTTTCCGCATCGGAGTCACTGTCCAGGTTGAGGTCGATCTCGTCGGAGTTCTTCACGGCTTCGGGTTTGTGCTCGGTCTTCAGCTTCTTGTTGGCGCTATCGCGTTCGATGCCGGTGTAGACACGACCGGATCCGTCCTCGCCGGTCTCGATTCTTTTCCATGTCAGATCGTGCGAAACGCTCGGTTTTAGAGCTGCATACTGGAGGGATTTATCTGCCAGAAATCGAGAGTTTTCAGCCGCCTCAGCCTTAGCGGCCACGGTGTGGAAATTATTCCATGCTGAAATCTTACTCTTGTCATCACTGGGTTCGTTGGAGATGTCCTTCTCAGATGGTGCTTCATCCATTTTTTCGATAGCCGAGGGTTGGCTTGCTGTTTCCGCGCTCTCGTGGTTGCCTGAAGGCTCCTGATCCGCGGCAGGTCGAGCTGGGAGAATACGCTCGGCCTGGGGATTATCATCGGGAAGCGCAAGGGCCGTGAGGAGAGCACCGTCCAAGCCGAAATGGTGCGGAGCACTCGAGGCGGGAAGAGGATCGGGTAGAGGAGCTTCAGCTTTCCTTTTAGCAGCCGGGTGTTCAGGGGTAACATACTCTCCATGAGCGACTATGGCGGCAAACTTCACATGCAAATGGGCGGAGAACCAATGGGCGGGACGTAGACGGTCAAGGACGTACTTGGCCGCAGGGTTGCCCAGTTTACCACTTTGGGAGTCTTCACGGAAGCCTCTCTTTGTGTTGAAGAGATACTCGGAATCTCCGCACAGTTCAACCTGCTTAGGCCAATCGTGAGATAAGCCCAGGTCAACCTGGGTACGAACCTGAAGTAGCTTCCGAACATCAAGCTCTCTCACGTGGTAGATGCCTGAAACATCGTCTCGATTATAAGGCAATCTCTCCGAATGCGGCTTTCTGTAGTCATAGCCCTTCCAGATACCAGACATGCCAGCGATGCGGAGGGGGCCGAACCGAAGAACGTTCGCTGCACCCAAGTAATAAATATTCGGGGCAACCCACCCTCCGTAGTAAAGTTCGAAGAGATGATTGCCAGCCTCATGGTTACCTCCGATGAAAATAGTCAGATAGGGTGCGGTGCGTTTCCCACTGTAGTACTCGTGAAAGTCGCCTAACTCCCTGTACTTCTGAGGTACAGACATGCAGGCAAGATCGTTGGCATTGCGGACGGCCTAGAGATTCAGTTGAGGAAAGGATTGTTACTGAGACCAAGCGAGGCGATCGCGGAAGACTCACCTGGAAATCGCCACCTATGATGACCACGTCAACGCCATCCCATCCTTTCAAGGTGGCGGCGTTCTCAACCGATGCGTATATGTCGTTGAGGCAGCCGTGTCCCTGCGAAGAGTATGTTGATTAATCTCGCAGCCTCCAAAAGTAGCGCTCGGGCCAGGCAATAGACCACTTACACAGCCTTCAAAAGCGACCCTGACAGAAGCAGGACTAGAGGTTTGTTGGGCCTCCATCGCACTGGAGGATGGCCTACTTATGGTCAAGTAGCCAAGTAGATCTGGGGGCAGGCGGAAAAGAAGCGAAGAATCCAACAAGCGAACACCCGCAGTTTGTTGTCAGAAAGAATTTTTGAAGACTTGTCTTCTTCTAAGTAAGGTCGAGAGAGATAAGTAGCTAGGAAGTGAGAGACCGGAGTCGAGAAGGTGAAAGAAAAATACAAAACAAAGAAAGCGAGTGGGCGAGCACGAGAATTGGAGGGAGAGCAAAGAAAGTCGAGTACTGAAAGTACCAAAGAAGTACCCAAAGAAGTAACACAACCAACGGACTGGCAAAGCGAGTGCGGGTGTTTGATTTGCTTGCTTTGCATCCGCCAATTCCTCTTTTTTGGGGGGGAGCACATTTTACCAATCAATCCCCAATTCACAACTGACTCTCTATCAGTTCGCCCTTTTTTCATTCACTTGAATTTGTATATCTTGTCCATTGCTTAGGCAACCTCTTTCCGAACAAAAATATGCCACTCAGTGATCATGCACCTAGGCTGGAATATCTGAAGAGCTCAGCAAGCTTTTTAGAGGCCGCAAGCCCATCGACCGCGGCCCATCTGATGTCCGTTCACCATAACATCATTCGCGACGAGTTCAAGCCCTTAAATCAGCGACAGCAAGAATTTGCTTGTGGAGCATGTGGGAGCCTCCGAAACTCCATGTCGACCAGGACTATTCAGGTCTCGAAGAGGAAAAAGAAGCTTGCAGGCTTGAGTGCTGAGGGGGCTACGGTTCTGATCTGCCTTCGCTGCCGTCGACGCACCGTCAAACCCTCCAAAAAAGAACCTGTTCGCTCCAATGCTCCAGTAGTTTCGGTGACTACGGTACCGAATGCAGTTGCGACTCAATCCTCAACGTCTACGAGGCCTTTGCCCGGACAGCCAGCCGCTGCACTTCCGGATCCAGATATGGCTGTCAAATCCGCGGAAAATGCCAGTAGCAAGAAAAGAGCCAAGTCTCGCAAGCAAGGTGGTCTGCAGGCACTAATGGCCTCGAAGCAACAATCTCGCCCGACCTCGTCCCTCGATCTCTTTGATTTCTTGCAGCAGTGAAGATCACATGACTGTTACATGTCACGTGACCGATGCGGACAATCGGGGAGTGTCTCCGGCACACTTTGGGACTAGCGCGGGGTTCCTCGGCTTCCAGTCGGTCGGTGCTTCCAGCTGAGCGTTCCCCTCGTAACTTAACTACTTCTCAGCTGGCTGGAAGCTCCACCAGCTCCTTCCTTTGTTTCTGTTACTTTCTTTCTTGCAGCTTTTCTCCGTACCTTAGCTTGGCTACACATCCTGTCCACCTCATATAGCCTGCCTTTTCGATCGTCGGTCGCTCCGTGTCTTATCAGCACAATGTCGACTTTCTCTCATGATGATGACGAGCACGATCCTCAGGCTGATGAGCTCCGGGAGACCGCTTTGGTCACGCTGGAAACGCTGATCAGTGCTTGCGGTCCCCAAATGCAGCCCTACATGCCTTTCGCCATCAACGCCGCCCTACGCTACCTCAAATACGACCCCAACGTGGCAGAAATCGAAGATGAGGAAATGAGTGGCACTCAGGACGACGGCTCCGAAGATGACGTAACGGAGGACCCTGATCTGGATGACGATGAGTTTGAGGACTTTGAGGAAGAAGGAGGATACAGTGATATTGATGACATGAGTTGGAAAGTCCGCCGATGTGCCGCCAAGTTGCTGTACAGCGTTATCTCGACCTTCGGCCATAGTCGCGCGCTAGATGAGGCATCCTTGTATCAACAAATTTCCCCCGCTCTTATCGCTCGATTCAACAAGGAGAGAGAGGAGAGTGTGAAGCTGGAAGTCGTTTCTACTATGACTGCTCTCATCCGAAAGACTGGTGAAGGCTCCATGATCATAACCTCCAATGGCTTCCTCGAGGCTGTGGGTGGCTCGAAAAATTCTAGGAAGCGCAGACGCCAGGATAGCGATGCAAGCATGATTGACTTTGAGCCAGGCATTGGCACCTCCTCCGCTGTCAGCACACCTATTCTCACTCCGGCTTCCCCTAAGTCTGGTGCGCAGGCAGAATTGTCTCGCTCTGTACCTACGATTGTGCAAAGCGTTGTCAAGATGTGGAAACAAGCTTCCGTGCCCCTGAAGCAGGCGATTATCGTCTTACTCAGAAGCTTAGCACTGGTCCGCTACGGCGGCTTGACTGATCACCTTCAACAGATCGAAGATCCTATAGCTGATGTCCTCAAATCTTCCGTTTCTAGCTCCTCCTCCACTTCGCTAGGGGCCTCTGCGAGTACCGGTACTCTCCAGACCGAAACCCTCGGTCTCATCTCCGCAATTGCCGAAACACACACGTCGGGTGCTCTTTTGCCTTTCTTGATCGCCCTGATTCCTGGTGTTATTGGCGCTGTCAATGATCGTAACTACAAAGTCAGCAGTGAGGCACTGGGTGCCGTGGAACAGATTGTGAAAGCACTTACGCCTCCTCGAGTTGCCAGCACAACCCAGGATCTCGCAACTCAGCTGGATAGATTGTACGATGTGGTTCTTGCACGTATCACTGATACCAGCGCTGATCTCGAGGTTCGGCAACGTGCGATTCACGTCTTTGGCGTGCTTCTGGCACGTACCTCCGGCGAAAATGGTTCGACATTTATCTCCCTTGATCGTCGTTCGAAAGGCCTCGCAGTTTTGGTTGATCGCCTTCGAAATGAGACCACACGCCTTGCAGCGGTTCGGGCAGTCGATGATGTTGCTATTCTCTGCGCTCGTGGCGCAGACGTTACTGCATCCTGGGTCGGCGAAGTCACAGCAGAGCTCGGAGCACAGCTGCGGAAGTCGGATCGCGTTCTTCGGGGGGCCAGTCTAGAGGCTCTGCGCAGCCTGGCCATGAATCCTAACACAAAGGGCCATTATGACGCTAGCACCATGAAGGAGCTGGAAGACTGTCTTCTGCCACTCATAAGCGCTGAGGACTTCCATTTCCTCGCTCCATCACTTATTATTCTCGGGAAACTTATACCTGGCAACGCCGAGCTCTTGGTCAATGACAATCTGGTTTCTGCACTCTGTTCCGTTGTCCTTTCGCCCCTCGTTGGAACAGTACTTAAGGCCATGCTTCTGGTGGTGAAAGTCATCGGAGAGGCAGGCGCAGGAGCAGCATTGATGAAGAAACTTTTGCGGGATGTTGGCATTAACGGTGACACCTCTGTTGTCGGGCGAGCCATTGGGACGCTTCTCGTGCATGGCGGGTCTAACTTGGGTGTCAAGATGGAGGACTTCATGACCGAATTACACACCGCACCAGACGCTCAGCGAAAGTGCCTTGCGCTCGCTATTTTGGGCGAAATTGGTCTTCGAATGGGCGCTAGCTGTTCGCTAACTCCAGAACTTTTCATCGGCCACTTCAATTCCAAGTCAGACAAGGTCCGCTTGGCTGCGGCTGCAGCTCTGGGAAATGCGGCGGCGGGCGATGTGAAAGCATACCTACCTAACATCCTGGGTGGGTTGAAAAAGAGCGACCCGCAGAGCTACCTGCTGCTTCATTCGGTGAAAGAATTGTTACAACATCCTGAGATCGTCAGACCTGACCTAGCTCCTTCCGCGGCCAAGCTTTGGCAGGCACTGCTGGTGGTCTCCGAGGTGGAAGACAACCGTGCTGTTGGCGCGGAATGTGTTGGTCGCCTGGCCCTCATCGATCCCAGTGCCTACATCCCTCTGTTCCAGGTAATCTCCCGCTACTAAACTTTCCCGCATCAAATCGGAACGTGGCAGGACCTAACGATGAACATAGGATCATTTCTCCAACTCAGACGCCAGTATCCGTGGTGTTGTCATCTCTGCCTTCCGTTACACTCTCGCCGACTCCAGAGATACCTACAACGATGTCCTCCGACCCACCATCGTCCCTCTTCTCGTCAACATGCTTAGTGACCCAGACCTGGGCAATCATCGTCTCGCTCTGACAACATTGAATTCCGCCATTCACAACAAGATGGACATCCTCCTTCCCCACCTCAATGAGCTCCTCCCCGCCGTCTTCGAGGACGCCAAGCTCAAGCCTGAACTCATCCGTGAGGTGCAAATGGGCCCCTTCAAGCATCGCGTCGACGACGGCCTGGAACTCCGCAAGGTAAACCGCACACAGCCCCTTTCATAGCTCTCTCTCTCTCTCTCTCTCCACCCCACCCCTTTCCCATGAGCCAGACCCAAACTGACAGCTTTCCTTTGAAAAAAGTCCGCCTATGAGACGCTCTACGCTTCCCTTGACACAATCTTCACCCTGCACCACATTGGCGAATTCTTCGACCGCATCCTCGCCGGCATCGATGACGAGCAGGACATCCGCACCATCTCCAACCTGATGACCTCGAAGCTCATCCACATCGCGCCCGAGGAGACCCAGCGCCGCCTCGATGCGCTCTCGGAACGCTACACGGCCATCCTGTCCTTCAAGCCCAAGGAGAACGCCGTCAAGCAGGAGCTCGAGAAGGCGCAGGAGGCCTCGCTGGGCGTCCTCAAGATCAGCCGCGAGTTGAGCAAGGCGTTCCCCAGTGCCGAGGTCGCGGGTGAACACCACAAGTGGAAGGCCTATGTGGAGTGGATCCGGAAGACCTTTACCGCCCAGATGAAGACCATCGAGGCAGAAGCGTAGTGTCGCTACTGGCCTCGACCGACCGCTTTAACTGAACGTGGAAATGGCGCGCTGATGCCGGCCGACAGAAGGCCTGGAATCACCTTGGCAGCTTTAAATCGCATAAGCAGAATCACAGTCACAAGGTGCACATTATCTAGACCGGACGTATATTTTAGCAGTAGTGTGCAAGTGTGCAGTTTTCAACATCAAGATGTTCGCTACGTAAGTCTTGTAAAAGGTCCTCGTCTAGGCATTGCACAGCAAGAACTTCCCTTCCATGCAGTGAGGTGGGAGAAAATTAGAATTGTATTAGAACAAGTACCAATGCAATGCACAACAAAAGCCCAGGGGTAGTCCGCTCGAAAGTCAAATGCTCAAGTCACACAACTCCTGGTATGCAAGCCACTTGGGTCAAAAACATCAAGTGTGACGCCATCCATCCAACATGAAGATCGACACCGAGGGGGAAAAATGTGTACACGAAATAAATAGAAAAGCAAAACCACCTTCAATGCCAGTAAAACTCCATATCCTGCAAAATTAATGCCGCCGGTCTCATGCCGTGATCGCCTTCTTCCGGAGCACACCAAGCTTCTCGAGTTTGGCCCAGGCCCGGTCCATGTCAGAACCGTCTTCAAGAGATGGCCGTAGTTCCAATCCATCCAGGATTTTGATGGACCCACCACTGCCTGCATAAAGCATGAGCTCGAAGATACTGCGCCGCAATCGTGTCGCCTCGTCCAAGTGAGACAGGTGCTTCTGGTCTGCCACTGGGTCCGCTAATGGAAGGGTATAGGGGTCATGGATTTCGAGTTCTTTTATGCCATCCGACTTATCATCTTTCCTCACAGCAACCGATGAATTCAGGTCGAAATTCTTGAACTCGGCCAGAGCCGATGGGATGTCCGAGTTGACGTTGCGCTGGGAGCGGTCCTCCCTAATTTTAAGCTTCTTTGTGTTGGCTGTGCCGCTTTTGATGACTGCAGTTGGGTAGAACCGCAACGTAAGCGGGTTTCCTCGGGTATCAATTTTCTGGAGAGAGCAGACTCTCCCTTTGTTAGTCCGTCCTATGCGACCCAGGACTTGACAAAGACGCCTGAGTCTGGTAATGTTGTTGCCAGCGATCGTCAGTCTGGATAGACATTTCATGCCCACCAATTCGTTGACTCCCTTGAGTGAGTTAAAGTTCATGTTCAAGACCACCACATTGGGGAAGCTTGATGCGAAATCTTCCGGAAGGTCTTGTAAGCTGCATGAAGCGATGTCCAGGAGCTGCAGGCTCAGAAGGGCGTTGGATGGTGCAAGACAGCGCGGTGCCAGCCTATTAGAGGAAAGAAATACTTTGCGTATGTCTTGCGTCAAGCCCAAGTCAATATCAAATAGGCCGCCATTGCTACCACTCATCTGCTCTCGAGCAGATAGAACTTCCAGTGAGTGACATGTAGCAAGCCCGGAAATCGTACTCAAAAAGTTCTGGTCCACGTAAAGGAGCGTCAACGACGGGAACATCGAGATGTCAAGGCTGCGCAATACATTGTTCGAGACTTTGAGCGATTGTAGATTGAAAAGAGTCGCCGACGCAGCGAACTC